TATTTTTGTTTTTAAAAAATATTTATTTATTTATTTGGCTGCACTGGGTCTTAGTTGCAGCATATTATTTTTTAATTGAAGTATAGTTGACTTACAATGTTGTATTAACTTCTGGTGTACAACAAAGTAGGTATTATATATATTCATTTTCATATTCTTTTTTCCATTATGGTTTATTATAAGATATTGAATATAGTTCTGTGTGCTATACAGTAGGACTTTGTTGTTTATTCTATATATAGTAGTTTATATCTGCTAATATCAAACTCCTAATTGATCCCTCCCCTTCCCCTTTGGTAATGGTAAGTTTGTTTTCTATGTCTGTGGGTCTGTTTCTGTTTTGTTAATAAGTTCATTTGTATCATTTTCTAGATTCCACACATAATTGATATCATATGATATTTGTCTTTCTCTGTCTGACTGCAGTTAGTATGATAATCTCTAGGTTCATCTCTAGGTTGCTGCAAATGGCATTATTTCATTCTTTTTTATGGCTGAGTAATATTCTATTGTATATATATATATATACCACATCTTTTTTATCCATTCATCTGTTGACACATTTAGTGTGCTAAATAATTAGTATATTTTTAATGTGCTAACTTTGTTGTATTAGGGGTTTTTTTCCGTTGGTTACTGGTAAGGTTTTTTTCTTTCTTTCTTTTTTTTGGGGGGGGGCGTGGCACACTGCGCGGCATGCAGGATCTTAGCTCCCTGACCAGGGATTGAACCTGTGGCCCCTGAAGTGGAAGTGCAGAGTCCTAACCACTGGACTGCCAGGGAATTCCAGGTTTCATATTTTTTTCTAATTAACATTGATGTATTACTACCATCTATTTCTCAGATTCCATTCAAGCTTCACCACTTGTCCCAATAACATCCTTTACAGCAGAAAGATCCAGCTCTGAATCAGGCATCGCACTTCAGTCTTCCCTTTTCTTTGGGGGAATATCCTTGACATATTTGAAGATTACAGTTTGGTTATTTTGTAGAATATCTCTCCCAATTTGGTTTTGTCTGTTTCCTCATGATTAGGTCTCTTTGGCAGGAAAATCACTTCTCATCCTATCAGGTGGTAGAGGACTTTGATTTGTCTGATTATGAATGATGTTCATTTTGGTCACTTAATCAAGGTGATGTCTGCCATATTTCATTGTTGTGATGTTACTTTTTCCTTTTGGAATTAATGTGTATTTTGTGGGCAAGTACTCTGAAACTATCCCATTCACTATCAAACTTTACATTTATTCATTCACTTATGTCAGTATTGCTTTATCATTTCTTATTTTTATTTAATAGGTTATAATCCATTACTATCATTATTTGTTTTGATGCTGAAATTATCCCCAATTTGGCTAGTGGATGCTCCCTCAAGCTAGATCCTAGGTCCTTTTGTAATGCTTGATTTTATTTTTTATTCATTTATTTATCCCAGTTTTATTGAGATGTCATTAACATATAACATTCTATTAGTTTAAGGTGTACACATAATGATTTGATGTATTGTATACTGCAAAATGCTTACCACAATAAGTTTGGTTATCATCCATCACCTCACACAGTTACAAAAATTTTTTTTCTTGTGATAAGAACTAAGATCTACTTTGTTGGCAACTTTCAAATGTATAATACAATATTGTTAGCTATAGTCACCATATTGTAGATTACATCCCCAGAACTTATTTATCTTATAAGTGGAAGTTTGTACCCTTCGACCACCTTCACAGTTTTCTATCACTCCCCACCCCCACTTCCAGAAACCACCAATCTATTCTCTGTTTCTATGAGTTTGTTTTTTTCTGTAAGATTCCACATATAAGTAAGATCATACAGTATATGTCTTTCTCTGTGTGACTTATTTAACTTAGCATAATGCTGTCAAGGTCCATCCATGTTGTTGTAAATAGCAGGACTTCCCCTTTTTATGGCTGAATAATATTCCATTGTGTACATATACCACATTTTCTTTATCATTCATCTGTTGATAGACACTTAAGTCCTATATCCTTTTCTTATGTGTCTATCATTCTTTGAGCACTTTGTTGCTCTCTGGCACAGGATATTCCAGATTCATCTTGTACTTTTTCTGCTCCAGGGCTGTAATTAGACAATTACAATTCTCCAAGGAGCTCTGGTTCCCTTTATTGGAGAATGGTGTTAGAAGCCAAGATTTGGGTGCTAGTTATGTTCATACCATTGGTGGGGGTCTTGGGGGGAATGGTCACTGTTCCCAGGCCCTCTCACTAGACAGATTTACAGAACTGGGGAGTATACTTATGTACACATCATGCCGCCCCCCTCCCCTGCCAGACGTTTATGTCTCTCTTTTTCTTTTTAACTGGCTTCATTCACTTTACTTTTCTCATATAAAAATATGTGGTGGCTACAGCTGGAGCCTGGGTCCTCTGCACAGAAACTCTGTGTGGGTCTTTACAAGATGGTTAGTGAATTCCTGATATGGAGACTTGGTGAACACTGTTTCTTTCCAGAGATCAGGAGTGAGGTAAAGGTAGGTCTTGGAAATGGCATCAAAAGTGGCTTTGGCTGGGAAAGGAAAAACAAGAGAGGGTTGGTGAAACCCCAGATGCAGACGGAAGCTGTTGCACTTCTAGGAACAGAGTGGCCACTGTGGGCCAGTCTGTCGTGCATTAGGAGCACCTTCCTCTCCCTCTCTGAAAATACGCCAACCACACTCAGAATGTCATTAAGGGAGCTGAGAGATATATCACTCTTTTTAAACATCCATTAGTTTACCCATACCTGCAGTTTCAATCCACAGGGTTCATTCTAACCTTTTCCCTTTCCATGTTTGTGTTTTCTTTCTCTTACAGAGAGAACTCTGGGTCCCCTTTTCCTTAGTAGATTTTCTTATTTGATGAATCCGCTATATATGACAGATCTCTCTCTACCTCTGAACTCTTCCATGTGGACATGCCCTCCTCACCCTGCTCAGGCTCTCACTCCCCATGCCAGTCCCCATTCGTGGTTACCCTTCTCACTGCACTCAGGCTCCACCATCCCGTGCAAGCTGGCCCTTTGTATGGATGTTGATGGTGTCCTCACAATTTGTGCTCTGATACCCAGGAGGCTACCCTCTGTATGGACACCTGCTGTGCTCTGCCCCACCTAATGGCTGTAGGACTGGATAGTTTGGGAATGGGAGAGGGCTTCTTTGGATTCTTAAGTTTCACTTTAATATTTCTGGCTGTGGGATTATTTCTTTATCTTTTCTTTCCTTTAACATTCTTTGAGTCCTTTTAGTTTGAGGTTTTATATTTTCTCTAATTCTGGGAAGTTTATAGAAGTTTATTTCTGCAAGTATTTATTGCCTTCTCATGATTTTTTCTTTCTTCTTTATATGCTGTGATGTGGATGTTGATTTCCTTCATTTCCCTTTTCCATATCTCTTGAATTTTCTTTTGTGTATTCTATCTCTTCTGGATGTCTTTTGGCAGAGTACCTTAAACCTGACGTTTTAGCTAATTAATTTGTTCAGCTGTATCTTTTCTGTTATTTAGTTTATCCATCTACTAAGTTTATTTCATTGATTATATTTTTCATACCCAGTATTTTTATTTGCTTCATTATGATATTTTCTTCCTGCTTTATATCTAATATCCTTTCTTATTGAATTTGTTTATTTTGAACTTTGATTTTGTGTTTTTCTCCTGTAAACTCCTGTGTCCTGGGGATATTAGCCACCTTGGCTCATGAACTATATGGGGAGGGCTGGAGAAAGTACAGTTTGTGCCTCGTTTCTGCATCTCCTTCTGGGTTTAGAGAATGAAGGCAGGGGGTTGTTGAGTGTGGGAGATGACTTACCCAGGATCACTGTAGTGTGGAATCCCTTCCCAGACTCTGCACTTTTCAAGGTCTGTTTTCCTTTGTTAAAACCACCTAGTCCATGACGTGAGGAAAGAGGTTGTGGGAAGAAGGAACTTGTGAACGTGCAGGACCACCCAGCACTGTCAATGCGTGTTGTAAACTACTTCCCCAGCAGCTGGCTGCAGTGCCACCCATATGTTACCCTGCAGCCCCTTGACAGTTCTAGGCTTGCTACAATTTTCCTGCCTTGCAACTGCAATTGTCTGTTTAAGACAATGTTGGAGAGAAAAATATTTGCCAAAATAACTGTACCACCCCCAACTACCATCTCTGGTGTCTGGTCCTTGTCTGCTCTGCCTATTTTTTCACCCTGCACTGGGACCAGATTTCCCTGTGTTGTCCCAGGGACTTCTATCTGTGTGTGAATACAAATGAATTTTTTTTTCTTTAGCATAGGTTCATACTATGTATACTATCTGGCAACTTGCTGTTTTTAAAATGGCTGATTAACATGATTGATTACATGGGAAGATAGCTTGGATTCAGTAATAAATAGCTTTCAAATATATGTACATGTGTGTGTTTGTGTGCATGTGGTTTTTATATCCCTTTTATACTGAAGTATATCCATATTATTGCTTTATCATCTTAAGTATAACTGTAAGTTAGTGATAGGGTAGAGTGTAGTCATTAGTGTTCTATGAAGTACTTAGCCATTTCCCTCTTTGGTTTCTTTCGTTTCATAACAGCTTTTAAATACTATGGTACCGAAAAAAATATCTCTATGGACAAAGGGTTTTCCATTTGTAGGATCATTTTCTGGGACAGATATACAGAATGGATAAAATAGATAAATAGGTTAAAAGGTTCAACATTTTTTATTCTTAACCATGTAGAGGAGTGCCTGGAACATTTTAGCCATTCAAATAATATTTATTGGATGAAATAATATTATAAAAACTGCTTTTTAAAATGGATGTACCAATTTTCATTCCCACCCACAATATGAGATTGTCTATTCTTCCACACCATCTTATACTTAAATTATTTTGATGATTTGATTGTAATCAGAAGATGTCTCTATCATTAAAAAAATGCTATCAGATGATATAACTAAGGTCTGTTTCTCTTTTTATTTTCACCTACTTGGTAAATAGACACATGTTTTCTTACAGGACTGAATTTGCTCTTAAAGAAATCATGTCCTCTGGAGGTGCTGAAGATGACATCCCACAGGGAGAGAGGAAAACAGTTACAGATTTTTGTTACCTTCTGGATAAATCTAAGCAACTGTTCAACGGGTTAAGGTTAGTGGACTCTTGATGCCTTAAACTTTTATCTAGTTCTGTATCTTTTTTTCCCATGGCTGATGTGTGGTAAGTTTCTGAAAAGTTATGGATAGAATGTTATATAAATATCTGTACTAGAGATGATCATGCTTCTTTTCTTCATTCTCAGGTGAGAAAACAACAGAAGAGGGTAACTTATATTGTTTTACTCAAGTTGAGAGAGCTGTTTTGTTAGATGGTCTTGTATACCTTACTCCACATCATATTTTACATCTGATTTTACACATTGCGATAACTAAGGAGCCTGGGATGCATATGCAAGTGAACCTGGGGCTTCTCTTCTGTTACATTTTCTGTATACTTGTTTATTTGCTTATTTCTTTTATTCTTTCTTTTTCTTAGGATGAAGTATCTGTTAACTAAAATAAGAGTGTTCTAGACAGTGTTATTTTTACATTAGTTGTGTGTGCCCTGACTGACTGGTAGCAGAAGCTGTATGCAATTTTGTCAAAATGTGTCTTTGTGTATTCTTGTGTGTGGTGGGTAAATAATTTTGTACCATTTTGTTTTATTTAAATGGTTTAGCCGTATTTCATTTCATGAGATTCTTAGGATATTGACTTACTTCAGACCTAAAGCTTCAATAGCTTAGTTTCAGTCATAAATAAATTCATGCTATGGGTAAAATACTAAGGATAAATAGGTTTTTTTGGGAAACTTTATATAGGAGTGAATAATTGTAAAGATTGTGAGTTATTTTTATTTTAATTAATTAATTATTGAAGTATAGTTGATTTACAGTGTTGTGTTTGGTGAGTTATTATTTTTTTTTTCTGATAAAGTATTTTTATTTATTTATTTATTTTTGCTCTGTTGGGTCTTTGCATCTGTGCGAGGGCTTTCTCCACTTGGTGGCGAGCAGGGGCCATTCTTCATCGCGGTGCGCGGGCCTCTTACTGTCGCGGCCTCTCCCGTTCCGGAGCACAGGCTCCAGACGCACAGGCTCAGTAGTTGTGGTTCACGGGCCTAGCCACTCCACGGCATGTGGGATCTTCCCAGACCAGGGCTTGAACCCGTGTCCCCTTCATCGGCAGGCAGATTCCCAACCACTGCACCACCAGGGAAGCCCACTGAGTTAGTTAGTTAGTTTTTTTTTTTTTTTAGCGGTACTAGGGCCTCTCACTGCCGCGGCCTCTCCCGTTGCTGAGCACAGGCTCCGCACGCGCAGGCTCAGCGGCCATGGCTCACGGGCCCAGCTGCTCCGCGGCATGTGGGATCTTCCCGGACTGGGGCACGAACCCGTGTCCCCTGCATCGGCAGGCGGACTCTCAACCACTGCGCCGCCAGGGAAGCCCTAGTGAGTTATTTTTAATTTGCAATTTATTTCTGGGTAAAAATGCAATCTTCTTTTCACATATTTTATAATTTTATTCTACATCCCTAGGATCGGAATTGTACTGACAGAGTTTATTTTAAAGAATATATATTTTTGGGCTTCCCTGGTGGAGCAGTGGTTAAGAATCTACCTGCCAGTGCAGGATACATGGGTTCGAGCCCTGGTCTGGGAAGATCCCACATGCCGTGGAGCAGCTAAGCCCATGGGCCACAACTACTGAGCCCACACGCCACAACTACTGAAGCCCGCGCACCTAGAGCTCGTGCTCCGCAACAAGAGAAGCCACCGCAATGAGAAGCCCATGCAACGCAACAAAGAGTAGCCCCCACTCGCTACAACTAGAGAAAGCCTGCACGCAGCAATGAAGATCCAATGCAACCAAAAATAAATTAATTTAAAAAAATTCTTTTTAAAGAATGTATCTTTTCTTAAATATTTATGTATTTATTTATTTATTTATTTATCTGGTTGCTCTGGGTCTTAGTTGCAGCAGGCAGGCTCCTTAGTTGTGGCTCATGGGCTCCTTATTTGCCACTCACTGGCTCCTTAGATGTGCCACGCGGGCTCCTTAGTTGTGGCATGTGAACTCTTAGTTGCAGCATGCATGTGGGATCTAGTACCCTGACCAGGGATCGAACCCCCAACCCCCTGCACTGGGAGCCTGGAGTCTTAACCACTGCACCACCAGGGAAGTCCCTAAAGAATATATCTTTAATCAACTATACGCCAAGGTGCTTCTTTTTTTTTTTTTTTTTTTTTTTTACGGTACGTGGGCCTCTCACTGTTGTGGCCTCTGCCGTTGTGGAGCACAGGCTCTGGACGCGCAAGCTCAGCGGCCATGGCTCACAGGGCCAGCCGCTCTGCAGCATGTGAGATCTTCCCGGACCAGGGCATGAACCCGTGTCCCCTGCATCTGCAGGCGGACTCTCAACCACTGCGCCACCAGGGAAGCCCTCCAAGACACTTCTTTAAAAAATTTTTTTAAAAGTCCAATCTATCAAAATAATAAGTCTCTAAAATGCAATGTTAGGAATATGGCAAACCCTCTGACTGGGAGGAGTTGGAACACGTTTACAAAGCCTACTTCATCGAGTTACATACAGCTGAGAGAATAAGGAAGGATAAGAAAGTTCTGTGAATTAAGTTTACTGCCTATCAGAAGTTTATTGCCCTTCTGCTTTATAAGTTTTTTGAATCTTGCCTGTAGATTTTTTGACTCTAATATAGTTGCTTAAGGTTTAATCATTTTGATACTCTGCTGCTTAGTTGTGGTGTTAGTAGAATGTTTGGAGTCTACTTATATGTAATTTACCTGGCTTTGTACACAGTAAATAATGTTGAGCAACTAAAATGCTGTGCCCATTTTCATTCCCACCTCCCCAAAGAAGAATGCCCTTAAGTGAGGAGGGTAACTTGCACTGGGTAATGCACCTTTCTGCGCACCTTGGAGATACTGAAGGAGCTTTTAACTCACATCGGTTATTAAATAACTGCATGAGAGTAAATATGTCTTCACAATAAAAAAATATATATATATATATCTTTAAAAAAACTTACAATTATAAAGATAATACAGGGTCATCAAATGAGCCCTCCATGACCACTGTATTTAAAGCTATACTTTCAATCACTTTCTCATCTCTATATTTATTTAATTTTCTTCATAAAACTCATCGCTACCTCAAGTGATCTTATTTGCTTATGATGTCTTCCTACATTAGAATGAAATATCCCTAAGAGTAGGACCCTATGTGTCACTGTTTCTCTGCTGTCTAAACCAGGGTCTTGCACGTCACAGGTGCTTCACAAACATCTGTTAAATGAAGGATTCCAAAGACAGTGTTCTTAACTCCCACACTCTGCTGCTTCCTATTTTGTGCTACAGAAGAGATCTTTGAGATCAGTTTGGTTTCTTTTGCTTTATAGATTAAATGCATCTTTTTAAAGAATTCTTTTCTTTCACTATTATAATTCAGAAAACGACCCCAGTACACCCTGGTTTGAAGTCGCTTTTTTTTTTTTAATAAATAAATTTATTTATTTATTTATTTTATTTTTGTCTGAGTTGGGTTTCAGCCAAAACCTTGTGAACAAGGTTTTGGATGAACATGTGTTTACAGTTCTCTTGAATATATACCTAGGAGTGAAATTGCTGGCTCATATGGTACTTACTCTAAGTTTAACGTTTTGAGGAACTTCTAGACTGTTTTTCAAGAAGACTGTACCACCAGCAATGTATGAGGGTTCCAGTTTCTCCACATCCTCACCAACACTTGTTATTGTCTGTCTTTTTGATGATAGTCATCCTAGTGTGTGTGAAGTTGTATCTCATTATGGTTTTGATTTGCATTTCCCTAATGACTAATGATGTTCAGCGTCTTTTCATGTGCTTATTGGCCATTTTTATGTCTTTTTTTTTGGAGAAAATATTTATTCCAATCCTTTGATCATTTTCAGATAGGTTTATTTATCTTTTAATTTTAAAGTTGTAGTCATTTTCTGTATATTCTGGATACAAGTCCCTTGTAAGATGTAATGATTTGCAGATATATATTTTCCCGTTCTGTGAGTTGTCTCATCACTTTCTTGATGGTGTCCCTTGAAGCACAAATACTTTTAATTTTAATAAAGTCCAACTCGTCATTCTCTTTCATCACTTGTACTTTTGGTATCATATCTAAGAAATCATTGCCTAACCTGAGGTCACTGAGATTTACTCGGATGATGTTTCCTTCTAAGAGTCTTGTGGTTTTAACTCTTACATTTAGGTCTGTGAACCATTTTGTGTTAACTTTTTTGTAAGTTTTTTATTATTTTTATTTTATTTTATTTTTATTTTTGGCTGCGTTTGGTCTTCATTGCTGCGCGCGGGCTTTATCTAGTTGCGGTGAGTAGGGGCTACTCTTCATTGCGGTGTGCAGGCTTCTCATTGTGGTGGCTTCTCTTGTTGTGGAGCATGGGCTCTAGGTTTGTGGGCTTCAGTAGTTGTGGCATGCGGGCTCAGTAGTTGTGGCTCATGGGCTCTAGAGTGCAGGCTCAGTAGTTGTGGCACATGGGCTTAGTTGATCCATGGTGTGTGGCATCTTCCCAGAGCAGGGCTCGAACCCACGTTCCCTGCATTGGCAGGTGGATTCTTAACCACTGCACCACCAGGGAAGCCCCATTTTGTGTTAACTTTTGTGTATGGTATGAGATCTTAGGCATTTCTTTATCAGAAAACATTTTTTTTCAATTGATTAATTCATTTTTTCTTTCTTCTTGCTTGTTCCCTGTTTCTCCTTTCTTGTTCATACCTGTAATGCTTAGATTGAATTTGCAATCTAAAGCCTCTATTAAGCATCTACTCTCTTTTGATTTTCATCTCTATTCTTTTTCTCAGCATTTTTAGAAAATGTGTTCAATTTGTCCACCATATGCCCAACACATTTCACCTTGTCATTTCATATCAGCGGTTTTTGCTATACTGCTTTTTAAAAAACTAGATATTATGTATTTGATCCAAAGTTTACTAGCTGTTCTATCTGTATAGTCACATAAGACAGACACTAGAAATTTTGATGTGTTTTTGAATGGAAATTCTTTATTCAGTATGTCTGAGAAGCATATTGAATTTAGCAGTGGC